GCCTAACGAAGTTAATGAGCACTACAAGCAGGGGTTTACAGTATTTATTTGTAGGTTTTGCGAACTATGAGTGAAATAATTGCATCACTGTATCTATCACGGTTTTGGCGGTAAGGCATCGCCTATAAATTACCACTAAGTAATTATTAACGACGGATTATGGACAAAGAGAATCAGAGGTCATTTTGGTGTCGTTACGTTTTGTCGGTGTATGTATGTTTGCAATAGCGCGAAGTTAAAATATGACACAGGACAGTACGACCAAGAGCTACAATGCACATTTTGTTATTCTTACATACGGTTACTTACAGACCGCTGTTTCGATGCTGCATACTTGAGTATCTAGAGGATAGTTTGACAAGTCCATCATACAGGAGAACCTCAGTAAAAGTCTGCAACAGAGGTGATGATGTATATGTAAAAACCGTGCACAAGGTTAACGGAAACTATAGGTACAGTCGTGTACAGGTTGATGGTCCTCTACTCTTTATCCACCGGGTTCCTATGGCTCAGCATTGGCAGCAGCCGCCTGGTACCGGTAGGCTGTGCCGCATGACCCGAGAGTGAAGCGGCACAGCCTACCCACACTGTATGACACCGGCTCGGGTCGCCTGGTAGAGCGATTTGACCGGACACTGCGTTACACCGGCTGGGGGGAGGGTGTGGGGTAGGGGTAAGGGTCAGGCCTGCCGATTTGGCTCGGCTCGGTGGATGAGGTGGGCTGGAGTGTGGTGTGGGGCGGGGGTGATGTGGGGAGGGAGTGAGCGGACCTGGGGCTGGGTGTGTGTGGTCACTTGTCGCATAGAACCGATCGTAATCCACCCTCCAAAAATTCGCTTTAGAGATATTCACAAAACCCAGGGGGTTCAAACACCCATCTCCCAAGTGGGGTGCGGAAGGACAGGTAAGGGTCCATACGGTCTCCTCATGAATTGCAGCAAAGAAAGAAAACAGGTCAGTCACCAAATAATCTTTCTGAAAAGTGGACTAATCGCAAAGCCTCCCACACAGAAATAAACATCCAGCACGCGAAGCGTCTCGAACCAGGCCTCTCACTACCGCTCAGTTTGACAGTCTAGCACTCCTACGCTGAGCTACACCGGATAGCGGATTGGGCCGGGGCAAAGTCCGGCCAGGCGGGCGGCGGGGCCGGGCGGTCGGTAGCAAAGTCAATGAATGTTTTTGTGGTTTCGGCTGCCGGTCGCTCTAGCTTGGTGGAATGATGATGGATCATTGGCAAAACTTTCAACGTGGAGTCCCGGTTCGAGCCTCATCGGGGCTTCGGGTTACTTTTCCGGGTTAGGATCTGGTTTGATTTTAGTGGTTGCGAGCCATTTATACGGTTTTATACCTACATGTCGATTGTCGATTGATTGATTGATTGATTCATTCGTTCATTTAATACATGTCGACATTTAGCATACGAATTGACATCCAGGATCAATCTACCATTTTCATAAACGTATTGCCTAAATATCATGCATATATGTGGCACAAGACCTATGGTTTCCTCGATACCGTGCCAAATCACGTTTTGCACAATGCACATGTAAAGTAAATTATATTAGCTGGGTCTTCCGTGCATTGTGCTTAGCAAAAACAGGAATGCAATTGTTAAGCGACGCAAAATGTGCAATGCAGCAAGTGACCACACACACCCGCCCAGCCCCCATGGTCCACCAACACGCCCCACACCACTCGCCAGCCCACGCCAACCACCGAGACAAGCCCCTCCCCCCCGCGCTGGTCTGACGCAACAGCTGGTCTATACAAAGCGCTCCACCCGGCGACCCGAGCCGATGTCAAACGGCGTGGGTAGACTGTGCCGCTTCACTCTCGGGTCATGCGGCACAGCCTACCGGTACCAGGCGGCTGCTGCCAATGCTGAGCCATAGGAACCCGGTGGATAAAGAGTAGAGGACCATCAACCTGTACACGACTGCACGCTTGAATATTTTCAAAATAGGTAAGGAGACAGATATCGTTGTTTCTTTATCATTTGTAAATAGTAAAGTGAATAGGCGAAATAACTTGCTGACTTGGCTAAATTATGTCAAACGAAGATACTTATTTCATACACTTGCAGAATTATTGTTTTGTTTTTATCAACCGGCCGTCGCTGCCCGCCTAAACGTTATTCAAGACCCCTAGCCAGCCATAATAACTATGCCAACTATGCCAGATAAATAGATGTTATATGTCTATCTGAGTGCCCTTCCTGAAAACAATTTGGAGACGCTATCTGTCTTCAGACAGCTTGGTCATGGTCGAGTGCATGTGTTTCATTCTGGCCTTCAATCATAGACCTTTTCTGGAGGGATCTTATTCGTGAAGTGGATCGCATTCTGAGGTTGTTTGGCGGTTCCACTTCCACCAACTGCCACACAAAGCCAACATTTTTCGGGGACTCGTTCCCTCGGTATAATCGTATAATTCCATATTCAAGGCTCATCGATGATATTAAATTCTCCGGTTTCTTTTGTTAATAAAAAGCGTCGTAGTGTCTGTCTGGCATGTAGATAATTGTAACACTTTGTCTCTTTACGAAACAATGAGTTCCTTGATGATTAACCCTCGCCCGTATAGGGGGGGTCGAACGGACCCCCCCCCCCATGGTTTTTCGCAAATAACTCGCGTAAAAAGCGGCCGATCGCGACAAAACTTTCAGTACCTTCGCGTTAATCAATTTTACACCTACCCTTAAAATTTCATAACCCTGACCCCAATGACCTTTGACCTGTGACCTACTTTTCGAGACCATGTTTGGCCGGAATCGCGATTCGGCGTATGTCGGCTCGCATTAGCCGCGCGTTTGCAGTCTTTTCGTGGTTTCAAGCGTTCAAACATGTGATATGATGTTGCCCCATGCATTAGGGTGGGTGTCAAGGTCACCTGAAGGTCAGGTCAGGTCATTGACCTTTGGTGACCTCGGTTCACTTTTTCGAGTTTTACATGTTTTTAGGCCAGTTTTTGGAGCTGAATTCGAATTTAGCAACCATATGAACATTTACGAAGTAGTTTTGGTGCCTTCGTAACATGTTACGAAGCAGTCAGAGGCGGTTGACACCTACTAGGAATACCCGGCAGGCCTTCATGTAATTTCAGTCAGTCTACCCACGCCGTTTGACATCGGCTCGGGTCGCCGGGTGGAGCGCTACTGGTTGACCTGACCTGACCTGACCCGACCTGGACTAAATGCATGAAGACATCATCTGTGATCAAAACTAACATGATATTCGTGATCAGCGCCCCGAAAAACCCCATAGCAGCCACACTTTACGACGTTCTAACAGGTCCCGATTTTCCGACTTTTGGGTCATTGACCTGACCTGCAAGGTCAACCAATGACCTAGGACCTTAAAATTAGGTATCATCGGCTTCCTCTCGTCACGGGCAACACGCTCGTTTTTTCCGCGAAGCTCTAGCTCGATCAGGGGCGAAACGGCAAGGGGGGGTCCAACGGACCCCCCCCCCCCCCCTTATACGTTCGCGGCTGGAAAAACACCAATACGGGCGAGGGTTAACAAGCTGTTCGATATCCTTTACAAAATATAGCAATATGCCACGAAATCTTTGGAATAAATTACGCTCAATATAATTGACTTTCCACCAATGACAAAAAAAAAAGGATAATTAGCGGAGTTTGAGCATCTGGTGACGGTGTTGACCGATGACCGAATCCAAACACAACCGCCATGTGGCAATAAGGAAAACATTTGCTGCTTTGCTAGAGCTATTGAGTGAATGTTACAATTTTAGCACATTTCAATAACATTTTAGTCAGAAAACAATGCTTTTTGCATGCCGTATTTTACAGCATGTATATATACCTACTACATAGATATACAAGCAGGTGTGTCAACGCGTATCAGGAACTTAGAGATCCCTCTATTACAAAACGAGCTGATCAGTCTCACCTCAGAATGTAGAGCACCTCTCCGCTGGGGTGGACCCGGATCAGCACGTTGGGTACCGAGACGTACTGAAAGTCGCCCGACTTGGCGTTGGGGAAGTACACCTCGGGTTTCCAGATTTTCTTCACCAGCAGCGGGTCGGAGACGTCGAGTGGTCTGGTGAGGGAGTTGTTGACGAACCGACTCTCGATCCAGCGCTGTCGCAGGTACAGATCGGCCGTGTAGTCCTGTGTGAGATATCGCGAAATAAAGGTCAAAAAGCCTCTGAAATGGAGGGCGAACTGATGTAATTGACTGATGTAATCAGGTATTTAGCTAATTGTAGATCTAGCGTGTGACCTATGTGGGCTCAATCATCAGATTGGCAGGCTCAAAAGAAATGCAATCCTCTAAGATGACAGCAGATAATTAAACGTGTTCTGGAAATGATTATAAGGCGCATTAGCCGCATTTACTCTCGCATGTTGTATATTGACTCATGTGTGACAGGGTTCCATAGCAAAGGACTTATCAGCGTTCGAACAGGACCTACAATCTGGGAACTGTTTACTCCCAGGCACGATTCTTACCATTTCCACCGGATTGATGGAGCCCAGACTCCTGAGGTACATTTCCACGCTGACTATTGTCGGTTTATCTGAAATAAATCCAATCAGATGATTGCGGAAAGTTTAATTTTATGCATGAGTCATGTCCAAACACGTAAATTTAATTTCATCAAGCTTGAATGTTTTATTGAGGCACAATATGTTTCTGTTGCGAAGTTTATTGTTTAATTCGACCGCAGTTATTCATATTACGGGACCCAGTCCCAAACATACATCAAAAAGCTTGTTCCAAAACATCGGCTTCTCGGTTAGAAATGAGTGGTAAAACACGGTCTCACATCCGACACAAACAGGCTGCAGCCTTTGTGGACCTCCCCGAGGAACCATCGAGAACGGACGAGAGTTTAATAAAACTTCTCCGTCAACAGAGGCGGACAAAGTCGGCGACTGAGCTCTCAGGGCGTGTCCGAGCGCTGCGCGGACACGATTCGGCCATTACGGACAGAGGAGGCTGGCCACCGTCCGCTGTGTATGCGTCCGCGGAAATGCATGACGGAAACATATTAGCGACACGGGAAAAGTATTGACGGCATTATCGGAAAGCATCAAGGCCAGGTAATGGTGTGGCTGATCAGAATCGCAGAGTTTGCGGGACACAGCTATTCCATCACGAATAGCTGAGTTATTGCTAAAAAAGTAACAAGGTGAATACTGAAGATTTGTCGGGCATATTTCAGCGAAACAAACTTCAACCTATTAATCATAAAGAAATATATACCTTTTAATCATATCTGTAATTAACTACATTTTAAATGTGTTCTCATGAGTCATGAGTATCCCAGTTTCTCAGTTAAATGGCTGTGTTAGCACATATGCGTCGCAAATCTGTACTGGGAAAAGCACATCATAACGAACATTAGATTGTCTCAACACTAATCAGCTCAAGAGATTCTCAACAGCGCGACTGTAATGTGCGTCTTCCCTCTTTGAATCCCTAGCCGCTCACCGGGCGCACGTGAGCCGTCTTTAGTTCAACGAGCCCGAAGCTCGGGATTATGTCGAGCCATGAATTATGATTGCACAGAACAGCTACATATAACTGGGCAATGTGAATACACGTGACCGCAATAACAAATGTGGCTCTGAGGCTTTGGACAGTGTGCCAGAGAGTGATGTGTTCGTGGTAAAGAGCACTACATGTCGCGGGCACTTGACAAAGCAACTTGACAAAGCAATCCCTGCTGTGCGAAAACGTCTCACTGAAAAGCAGCAGCGACAGTTATTTACCGTACATAATAAATCAGGGCAATGCGCGGTAAAGCATATTCTTATTCATGAAAACATAGCCCTACGATGTTACACTACACAGTACACAAACCTCAGTTTCAAACTGGTCTCAAATAAGTTCATGTGTGTGGTATACGTTATCATGCCAATATTTCAAAACAGCCAGGCAATATCCAACAAACGTGTGTTCACAGCTTCATCTTCACGATATCGGCTGTCATACGGCCGTTATATTGGGCTTGGATTCCTCCTTGAGAGCTGTTCAATGCCCGCATTTGTGACAGCTATGGCAATCTTGAATTTTGTATTCAACGTAAGAACCTCGTTTATATATGAAAGGATCCAATTTCTGACGCGCGAAAGGAGAACCGATTTATCGATTAAAGATTACCGTGTTTGCAGTTCAGTAACTTCGAATAGTTTTTTTTTTCGTTTCGTAATATAACCAGGCAGGCGTTTGAATGTTTTTTTCCGTTCGATGATTAATGACGGATAAGCATGTATCCGGAACGGGATTAATAGCATCTCCTTACACTGCCTTGGCTTCTACAAAACGGTAAAATGGTTCACTTCCAGTTGTTAGGACTTAGTTTAGCCACAACCACAAAAGTGTCATGAGTCGTGACATTATAGGAGCATGCAGTTTCCACTTTCCAGTGAGGGATATAGCCACGGTCCAAATGTCAAACATAGCTGAAATAGGTATGTTTGACAACTTTTTTCTTTTTTAAGGCTGAGTGTGATTTTTATTGGTTTAAACACTGGTGAGTATAGCGTATCTTCTACATTCAAAGCCCGGGATGGAGAGCCCAGGGATAGGGATAGGGCTAGGGATGGCACTGTCGTGAAAAGGCTGTGTGAACCCCAAACCCTTGAAGTGAAAATTGTTAATGTGTCTGTTGCATTTTATCCGAGATCATCATTGTCCCGGGTTTTGTGAGACTCACCGGAATCTTGAGTGGGCGTGGCTCGACGATCGTAAGGTTTTCCCTTGAAAAGGCTGTCCAGCTTGAAAAACTCGCTCTCATGGTAGGTACTCCTGAAAGAATCAGCAAAAAATTAATCGGGATTGTGCAGTTTGATATGAATATGAAACTTTGAATAGTATTGCATACGAGTATAACTTAACACGATAAATTTTTAAGGCCGACACCTCGATTTTAATTGTTTTTATTTTTTCTAATTGTAGGAGCTCGAGTTTATAGGCTTTAAGAAGCACCATCGCCGCTCTCGAGAGACTCGCAACTTGTGGGGAGAGTTTGAATGGAAGGTGTTGCTAAATTTAAGAACTGACAAATTACCGTTTCAGTCACTCCACTCAAAGTGACACGTTGCAGTTGAAACGGAAGGTTTAAAATGTTATTTACTATAAGCAATGCGTTTGACAGATAGCTGACATGGTTCATAGAATCATTCATTGCCCATGAATTTCATGTCTAGGTTCTTACCTATAGGAAAACACAGTTATTGTAACACATTTATGCATGTCACTTTGCTTTGACTACAGTGCACCGCGCAGGGCACATGGTGGACCTCAATCGCAACTAGTGATGCTGGAAATCGAAATGAAAATGTGACTCTAGCACTGACCTATTTCAAACACATATATCATATATGCACTCGAGACTACAAAGGTGACTTGGATACTTATCCGGGTATTCAATTCAAGCCGGTGCATGAGCATCATGCAATCTACGTAAGAGGGGACCCGATGCCAAATACTTCTCTGACGATAGGGAGGGAGCCACCTAGCTTAGTGCAGAGCCTACCTTTCAATTTCAGAAATATTTCAGCTAGTTATATGTATGTGTAAACACTTTGGAATTGTACGTGAATGGCCAGAACTTTATCTTAAATCAATAACATTTATATACATTCCTTGAAACTTCCGATCTGACGAGGCTGACATTGTGTTTGTGGGGAGATGTATTGCTATTGCCATAGTTACCTGCCTGATCCGGTAATCAAGAGAATTGCTGGATGCTTGACTGTTATTAATACAATAATACAATGTCTATATATGTCAGCAGTCAATAGTCTCTTAGCATGATTGTAAGTGCCTACCCCCTAGTCCCCATATGCCTAAGCTCAGGAGGAGATGATTGCTGGGATTCTGGTGACAGGGCAACAACTGTTGTTGGAGATTTTTACTCTCATGGTTCGGTGGCTGTCTTGTATGTAAACGTTAACATGATAGATGTCAATTAATAAACTATTTTTTTAAAGCAAATCTGCACATACTATTCGGGCAATATAAGACACAGCTCAGGATGCCATAGCAGCTGCACTTTCCAAGTTTAATGAGCATCGATTCCAAAGTCGTTTCCAAAGCTGACGCAGGCAATAATAGGCAATAGGCATATGTGTATTGTATAATGTGTATCTTTGCTTTCGTTTTATACGACTCTTGAAAGTCATGAATAATCGTATAATTCATTTTCTAATACGCGATCTTTTGAAAGTAAGAGGTGAATCAATATATCGCTTCACTTATAGGTGTACATACTACAATATGCCCAGTAGTCCTGGTTGCAATTTCAAACATAAAGCTACGGTAAAATCTCACCATACGCACTACGCAGCTACATGAGTATCCCACTCACGAACAGGCGTGTCATCCAATTTTTAGTCCGCTTATTGCAATGGCATCCGCCAGCAAATTCATTACGAACACCCGTTCCCAGCGTATGACAACCGGATGTCTTTACAATGAGATGGTTGCAGCTGCTTTACATATTATTCGAATGCTTTCAAACGACGAAATAATGCGGATTAAATCTGCAGCTCAACGGACCAGGAACTAGATTTTTAAGTTGCAGCCAATCTGAGGCAATCATATGGTGAAAACCTTAATTTTTGAAACATGAGGCCTGCAGACTGCAATTTAAACCACTCTCATTGAATGATATCTGGTTTCAGTCGTGTGTGACAGCCATTTTGATCCGTCAATCAAGTCAAAACATGATTAGTGGATGTGTTTATAGAGCCGCGCCTAGAGGGTGCAACGTATCATCATACTTATGAAAAGTGAAAATCTCCCTCCATCCCAGTTTAAAAGAGGCAAAACTGCTATCGGCATGGTGGCCGTGGGTTTCATCAGTGGCTCCTGAGTTATGGCCAGCTTTGTCCACTGTGTCATGATATCGCCTTCTCCCATTTATCATACTGCTGCAGAAACAGCGATTGCATGGTAGAAACTTTTGCAATGAAACGGCTGCTCATTAGTGCAGCTGTAAACTTTGTGGTAACCACGTGTGTCGCCGGCCGGCACGGGAGTTCCCGGCGCAGACCGATTCGCGCGCCGACTTGTGACGTCGCTACCCCGCCCCGGCGCTGGGGAGGCGGCCCAGGACGTGTCTGTTCGTGAACTTTGTCCCATCACGATGCGACCGCGTGTCTGCGGCCTGCGCTGCCGCAGTGCGTCGGCCAGTGACCAATCCGCGCTCCGATCGGCAGCCACGTGGTGTCCGAGTGCTTCTGCGCATGTCTGGGCCCGGCCCGCTGCGTCGGGCCGCGCGCTTCCCCGGGACTTCTGGCCGAGCTCTTGGCCCGAGCAGACGCGTCACGTCTGGCTCCGCGATTTGGCCCGTTCTGTCCGGGATTTATAACTTAGATTAGGCAGGGCATATTTGGCAAACTTGGATTTCATTCTCGTCTCTTCGTCGCTCCATTGTCTGATTCGCTGTTTTGGTTTTTGACTTCGTTTTGGTAATTTAAATATAACAACCCGCTCTTTTAATTAATTCTTTTACTTGGGGCCGTTTGGATCGAACTGATTGAATTTTTGGAACACGCACCAGGTTGATATTCTCCATTTCTGATTAACGTAAAATCCAGTCACTGATATGTGGTGAACTGCCCCACAGCACCACATATTGGTGACCCCGACGTGATTCTTGTTCGATTTTTCCATACTTCCGGGTTGTCGCCTCCGCTCATTCCCGAATCAATTATTTTATTTTATTCCCCCACATGGATTGCTATTCCGTCGCTCCACAGTGGCTTCTGCGCCACTTACCCATGATGGTTTCTGTGCCATCCCTCCGCCGTGTGATTAGTTAGGCACTTATCTTCTCGGTGATTTTATTTCGGCGTTCCATTGGCTCTTTCGGATTTTGCACTCGGTGTTTTAAATTTTAATTGTTCAGTGCATTGCAAACACCGGCTATACTTTAACGATCATGACGAACGACGGCACGATGGAGCCCGCTCATGCTGAGCCAGTCCATCATGTGTCGATCAAGCCGCCGGTTTTTATGGACACCGCGGTTGACGGCTGGTTTGCCATTATGGACGCCCAATTTAACATTGCCAAAATCACCAACTCGCAGACCAAATTCTACCACGTTCTCTCTGCCCTGCCTCCGGAAACCATCTCGCACATTCCGCGTGCTGTCTTGAGCAACAAAAATTTCCCTGAGCTACAGACAGCCGTCACTGACATGTACGAAAAGACAAAGCCAGAGATGTTTGAGAAACTGATCAGCAAAACGCGTCTGACGGGCCGACCCTCACTCTTTCTAAGCGAACTCAGAGAGGTGGCCGACAAGGTTGGTGTCGGAGACGATCTCGTTCGGCACAAATTTATCCAGTCGCTACCTACAGGCATTGCAACGGCCCTGGCTTCTCAGCGCGAGCTCTCACTGTCGCAGTTGGGCAAACTCGCGGACGAACTGATGCCTCTTGTGCAAAACTCAACTGCTAACATGGTTCACTGTCAGGATCAGGACCCACAGTCTGACTCACAGGCGTTCCTTGTGGCTCAGCAGCACCCAAGGTACCACAGGGCCACTCAGCCGCAGAGCCGAGCCGCCACACACTCCCCTGCTCGTGATGCTCGTGATTCAAGGGCGTCTCTCGGTCTCACGCCGTTCCATCCTGACCAGAAGCCGAAAGTGTGCCGTGCTCACCTGTTTTTCGGCAGCAGAGCACGCACTTGCAAGCCATGGTGTCACTGGCCCGACAAAGCTGCTGATCTGACCATGCAGCCGTCCTCACGAGCTGCATCTCCATCCCGTGCAGCCTCAGAGTCGGGAAACGAGAGGAGCAGGCCGTAAACGCAGCCCTCGGCCTGCCGCTCCTTAGGGTAACAGCCAAGGTGAATGATCAGCCCCTGAAATTCATCGTGGATACTGGCGCTGGTGTATCCCTGGTTCCGCCCTCCTATGTGAATGGAACTCTAATTCACCCGTCCGCTGTTTCGATCACGACTGCCAGCGGGCAGCCACTGCGCGTGCATGGCGAGGCCACTCTCGATATTGTCCTCCCCACACTCAGACGCAGTTACACATGGACATTTGTAGTGGCTGAAGTGACAGAGCCACTACTCGGTAACGATTTTCTCGCTCACAACTCGTTGGTTGTCGATTGTGGTTCCCAAGTTCTCCGCGACTCCACCACTCTGCTCTCTGCTCCCGGTGTACCGACGACCGGGGAGTCTGTTCATTTGGTGATAAATGATCTCGCTCAGGTGCCTGAGGCAGTGCGGCCCATCCTAAAGGATCACCCCGCTGTTCTCAGCCCTAACCAGCCGGAGTACACAGACTCGCCAATCAAAACCACTCACTTCATCGACACCGGCAGCGCTCCACCCACGTTCGCCAGCCCACGCAAGCTGCCGCCCGACAAACTAACTGCAGCAAAGCAAGCACTCGATGTGCTGCTCAAAACAGGAGTGATTCGTCCGTCTAGGTCCCCGTGGGCCTCACCCATCCACATGGTTCCGAAGAGTACCCCTGGTGAGTGGCGTGTCACCGGTGATTACCGCGCGCTCAACGCCGTAACCAAACCGGACCGCTACCCACTGCCGCACATTCAGAGCCTCTCAACCAAGCTCCACAACGCTCAGTGGTTCAGCAAAATCGATCTGCTCCGTGCATATCACCAGGTGCCTATGAACCCCGCTGACTCAGAGAAGACGGCCGTCACCACGCCCTTCGGCTTGTACGAATACGCCTTCATACCAATGGGGCTTCGCAACGCAGGTGCCACATTTCAGAGGGTCATGGACGGTATCTTCCGAGACGTGCCGTGCGTGTT